GCCGGCGGTGGCAAGACGGTGGGTAGGTGGCTGAAGGACAGGAAGGAGAAGAAGAAGGAGGAAACCAGGGCCCACAATGCTCAGCTCCACGCGGCTGTTTCGGTTGCCGGTGTCGCCGCCGCAGTTGCCGCTATCGCCGCTGCCACGGCCGCTTCGTCAGGCTCCGGCAAGGACGAGCAGATGGCGAAGACAGACATGGCGGTGGCATCAGCGGCGACACTGGTGGCAGCTCAGTGTGTGGAGGCTGCCGAGGCCATGGGGGCCGAGCGTGACCACCTGGCCTCGGTGGTCAGCTCAGCCGTGAACGTGAGGTCCGCCGGTGACATCACAACATTGACAGCAGCGGCGGCCACCGGTATGTCCATGACTCTTTAATTACTTGAAAATGATACAGTTTACATTATATCATATAATACTATTTTAAATTTAGTTAGATATACATAACCTATGTTTTATGAATTTATATAGTGTATTTAAATTAAATTCAATTGCTTTTCTACTAATATGTTATCTGTATGAAGGATTAAAGAAAGCAACAAGGTTCAAATTTAGGCATTAAGCTCACACAATAGTTCTTGCTTTTCTATCATTCATTTATTTTTTATTCCTTTTTCTATACTAGCATTTTAGAAATATGTCCTAAAATTGAAAAGGACAAGTTTTTACATCTTATTCTGATGTACATGCAAAATTTTCAGGTTACATTACTTCTTGTTTGTAAAATGTATCTTTTTCTGTCCCTACATGGGATTTTTTGGTGTTTTCTTGTTGAGTAAGGTGTTCATGGCTTGAATTTGCAGCTTTACGTGGGGCAGCCACGTTGAAAGCGAGGGTCCTTAAGGAGGTTTGGAATATTGCAGCTGTGATTCCTGTGGAAAAGAATTTGGGCGGTGGCGGTGGCGGCGGCGGCAACGGTAACGGTAGTAATGGTAGTTCTAATAGCAGTTTCAGTGGTGAAATTGTACCGGAAGAAAATTTCTTGGGGATCTGTAGTAGAGAATTACTAGCCAGAGGTTGTGAACTTCTCAAGCGCACACGCACCGGTATATTTCCTGAAATTTCCTTTATGTTCTTTTTTTCACATAATTGTGTCATGATTTATGTTGTGTCAGTTGAGTAAATGACATCATTAGTGAAGAAAATTGTGTTATGTTTTTTGAATTGCTTGTGTTTCTTCCAATTTTTGTGTATGATGATTGGAAAGTGATTTGATTGCAGGTGAACTCCATTGGAAAATTGTATCCGTTTATATAAACAGGATGAACCAGGTGACTTTTTTTTCTCTGATTCAGATTATGTAGTGTTAATGTACTTTTTGCCAATTATTTGGTCATCAATTAAGAGTTTTGATGATGAGTATGAAGCTGGTTGTGGAAAAGGTTGTAAAGTGAGGGCGCCTAGTATGGATCGATGTGATGTGATCAAGTTGTTTTAGTATTCCAAGAAATCTGCGATTGCAATAACACTTTGGGGGCTCTTTTTGTGGTCAGGTTATGGTGAAAATGAAGAGCAGGCACGTTGCTGGGACCATCACAAAAAAGAAAAAGAGTGAGTGAATTACTTTTGTCCCATTCTCCCTAATAATTTAACTGATTCGGAGGTGCATTTGGGGATTTGTGAAAGTCATTGCAAAAGAATCAAAAGGGTTCTTCTTTAAGTTTAATTCGAAACCCCCTTTTTGGCACAGATGTGGTGCTTGGAGTGATCAAGGACATGCCGGCTTGGCCTGGTCGCCACTTGCTTGAAGGTGGTGAGAACCGTCGCTACTTTGGTTTGAAAACCGTGATGCGTGGTGTTGTTGAATTTGAGTGCAGAAACCAGAGAGAGTACGATGTGTGGACTCAAGGGGTGTCAAGGCTTCTCTCTATAGCTGCTGAGAGGAACAACAGGAACCGAATATGTGGCATTTGATTAGGATCCAATGATCATGGTAGTAAGTATGATATATAGTAGGTCTTTTGATACATGGTGGGGTTTTAATCCAAATGTAAAAAAGGGTAAATTGAATTACTAGTATGGGGGGGTTTCTTAGTTTCTTTAATCTTGGGGGACACACATGAATATTTTAATGTAATTTTTGAATGGGAAAGTGAAGGCACTTGAACCAAAGTGAGTGAAAATCATGTGAACCTTGGTGTTGTTTGTTTCTTTTGCTGATTTGGAAAGAAAAGGAGTATCTTGGACCGGGGTAGTCAAAAGAGAAAAAGAATGAGGCACGTTTGAGTCCAAGTGTGATAAAGACAAAGGGTGGTTTATGTGCTTTGTTTATGCATGTTGATTTGGGCTTTCCCTCATTGGATCCCGAGAAATAGTTTAAGGTTTGAGCTAGAGCCATCATTGTTTTCGATTATATTCTTCCACTTTGGTTAAAGTAAAGTGCTCAACAAATATATAAATCTGCCTCGCCCAATATAGCTGAGAGCGATGTCGCATAGGTAAATTCTTTTTTCTTCTTTTTTAATGTTTCTTTCTAACTCTTTCTATGAAATTCTTCTATAAAAAAAGCTTGATATTTATAGATTTACAAAAATTTACTTTGGGTTTTTCAACAAATTGTTAAATCTTTTTGGTAATTTAAAACATCTAATATGTTTTTTTTTATACATAATGTGTGCTTTCATAATAAAGTTAAAGTCATCATACCAGCGAGAGAATAAGAATACTCGTTTGCTTCATTGCAAATCTGACCATAAATCAAGAAGATAAATGGAGGATTACCGGAATGTTTTTGAATCCTGAAGCAAACCTGACCACAAATCCAGAAGATAAATGGGGGATTACTGGAATTTTTTTTTTTGAACGAGGTTCAAAATATATTTATGTTTACATTCTAAAAGTGATTTACCAGACTACTTTTGTCTCTTTTGATTGCAAAATATCTTGATTGTAGGGTTAAGAATCATGGTGCACAATATTGCCAATTGATTCGCTTTTCACAATCAAAGTTGCTATGAGTAGATTTCTTTTCAAGCAAATTATATATTTACAGTAACACTTTTCAAGGGATTATACTTTCAACCTGCTTATTTTGTATATGTCTTCAGAGTTTGAACCCTCTATTAAATTAATAAAATGCTTAGTTTTTAAGGATATTGATTAAGTATTAAAAGTAATTTTTTTTATTGAGAAATATAAATATTTCATTGAAATTAACAAAAGCACACGAGAAATGGAATTAAATTGTGTGCTAGTGATTTTTGAAATCTTTACACAAATGGTTACAAATAATTTCAAAAAAGCTTTGTCCAACAAAGAGAGTGATAAACACAATAGTGAATTTATATTATAGTTCACTTAACTTAAACTAAGTTTAATTATTTCATTAACCAACTTTGATTACAAAAATATTCCCAAGATCATTTTTACTCATACAAACATGATTTTATTTGAATATTACTTAATTTAAGTGTTTTCTTTTTTATATATATTTAGTCTTTTCTAGCTTTCACAAACAAACAAAGATTAAAATATTACTAAGTCAACTCCAAGAAGGAACATTTGTAAACTTAAGCACAAATATAAGTTTACTTTACCTACCTAAACATAAGTCTATTTAAGCTTGTATATCTATTTGCTAGAGAACAATGCTTATCACAAAAAAAAGAGAGTAGAAGGTAAAGATTAAAAAATATTTGTTTGAGTAACTAGACAATGTATGTTTTTATTTGGTCTTCATCATGTTCTTTATTTATAGCGTCATTATGATATATCCATTTAGAGAGACGCTAGGGATGTAAATGAGTAACAATTCACCTGTAAATTTGATCTATCTTAACCAACCAAATTACATTTTTGCATGTTAGTTTGGATCATCAGGTTAAGTCGAATAATTTTTATGTTACTCAATTATAATTGGGTTGGGTATCAAGTCAAGGGATTTGTTTCCTGATGAACTCGAACCAATCCAACCATTAAACTAAAAATACTATACTCAACACAATTTATAATATACACTTTTGCATATATTTAATCATACTTTTTTTTTACCAAATATTGTAAGAATGAGTTGATTGAAAAAATTAAAGAAGGCATACAACAAGGAGAATGATTTAATTATGCTTGTTATGTAATTCAAAATTTGTTATGTTAGTGACATAATGTTTGTTTAATTAGGATATTTATGAATTTTCATATATGATTGTTTTAATGTTATTTATATTTTGAGCCGTTAATTAAAATTTGAATTAAGTATCTCATTTTTTCTATTTTTTTCCATTTTAAAACATGTTAGATTAAAGGATGATATGAGAGCCCTCAAAAAACTATGTTTTATAATGTTAACAAACTTAGATTTTTTTTTTTTAAAAAGATATGTATATAAAATCATATGCCTAAAATAATATATTAAGATGCTTTTGAATGATGAAATGCATAGTAACCTCTCAAACAGAATATTTCATCAGTAATTGAGATAATTCAATATAAAGATACCTTATGTGATTTGACTTGCTTTATCTTCATTTTTTTAGACTTATGCTACTACTTTGTTGTTTTAAAAAGGTGTTGAGTTTTTGGTTAATACTATTCAACCCTTTCCTAGTATATTTTTTTTTTCTTTCTACAACATGTTTCTTCTTAGAGTATTGCAATAATATCAAAGTAAAATATGATATTTTAGATTAGATCATGTAATTCATGTCACTATTAAGTAAGAACTCTAATGCCTAGGAACCAATTACAAAAGAGAAATGATAGACCCAAACAAATTCAAACAATAATTTGTACAAAATCATTCTTGTGTATTCATTGCAAAAATTGTAGAAAGTTGAAAATCCAACTGTCATGTTTCATAGTTTAGGAAATTAATTAACTCGCACAAAATTAAAAGGCCTTCTAATATATTAAGGTTTTTTTTAATAATTTTTTTTACAAGTACAATGTTGCACTCTCCATGATTTCCAATGCAATTTCTCGATAAAATTCTTCTAGGTAGTTAATTAATATAACATTTAACCTATTAGCTTATTAAGTATATTTTAAAATCTAAAAGTTCAAATATATAAATATAATATTCATAAATTGATAAACATATAATAAAAACTATGTATTAATTTCTATACTTAATAACTCGACTAAATGTTATTTTTAATAAATGGTATTTAATGTTATTAGATAGTCAATTTTACTTAAAGTATAGTAATTGTAATGCATTTTAAATATAATATATTTATTAAATTTGATAAATGTTATACATTTTTTTAGACGTGTGACTTTTTAGATGAATTTATATAGATTAAAAAGTATACGATAAAATAAAATATAAATATTAGAAAAAAAATTCTAGAAAAGTATTGTGTCCAATGATTTTTTATTATTGAAATTAGAGAATAATTTTAAAAAATAAGAAACAATGGTACTCTTAGTTTTTGTATATAAAGTGAAGATCCCAATTTAAGTTGAGAGAAGCACATAGCCTCAGACATCTATTTGGGCCTTTGACTTTGGTCCATTAAAAGTCCACCAATAATATCTCTGCTCTATATGCATAATATCTTGAACCGAACCAAACCAAAATATCCAAAATCTGAAGTCGACAAGGCTATACAAAAGCCACAAATTTGTCATCTAATTCTGCAGCAAAAAGTAAGGATTGCAAGCTAAGACGAAATGAAAAACTTAGCAGAAACTCAACAATCAGTAATGTGTTCTTATTCATCAACTAATGTCTTTGACACTGGGAAATACACCACCGATCTGCAAAGGGTTGAACCTGAATCACATGCTCAAAACAATAGTACACTTATGCTTCCCTAACTATCCTTTACAATTAAGTTTTTGCATTTTTTGGTTACACAAAACTCAATTCAGTTCACTGTGTACTTTTTCTTTTTAATGATCAGTTCCACCACCAAAATCTCTCTTGATTGCCACTCCTCTTGAAGCTGGAGAATTCCCACTCATGTTGTTCCTGCATGGCTATCTTCTTTACAATTCATTTTACTCTCAGCTAATACAACACATTGCTTCTCATGGCTTCATTGTCATTGCCCCTCAGGTCAGTGCCTATTCTACACCTTACATAATTCAACAACTACTAGATTTTGCAAAAAACAGTTATAATTAAGAATACCACTTTTACAAGCAGATTAGTGTTATTTTCAGTTATTTTGAGTATTGTTTTCCCTTTCCCTTGGCCAATGATTGGTAAGTGTTTTTCTTTTGTTAATCATCAAAAGCATTGGAAATAGGCAAAACAAAGATTAAAATCTATGTTCACGTCTTCAAATCTAACTAATCCAAACATTAGAATAGTTGCTTCACTACTTCTGCCACTCAGCCACTAGTTAAGATAAGATTTTGATTAATGCAAACCTTTGAGTTAGTGGCTAATGAAGTGATTTTGTATTAGACGCTTGAAATTTCAAGGACTAGATTGGGGGTTTAAATCAAATTGAGTATATGCATTTCAATGAGTTCATCCCTGTCTTGGTCTCCTCTGATATACCTTTTCATTTGAATTTCCTATTGGACAAAGATTTGGGATTATCATTTATTAGAAAAACATGATGATGATGATGATGAGAGGGTTGGTTTATCATGTCATTACTTAATCCTTTTTATCAGTGCCATTATCAATTATTTGTTTACTGCACGAGTATAATGTACTTTTCTCCCCTTTAGACGTAAGGATGCATATCCTAAGCATCATAACAGCATTATAGCCCTGGAACTTTGAACACATAATCATGGGAAATCATTAGAAAATAGGCCTGATTGTGATGTTGAGGAAGAAACCATGATGAGAACTTGGTCTTTGCTAATAAATCGGTTTCTCACCATTGATCCTTTTATACTTTACCCACAACTTTACTCATAGTCGTTAAATATATGTAGCTAACCCTTTTTGGTGCAACCAGCCCTTATGTTTAGAGAAAGGACCAATTTATGTATAGCTAGATATCTTTGATCTGCTACATCATCAAGTGCCAAATGAAAAAGTGAGTTTTATTTGCTATTTATTTAGTCGGCTAAGTTTGAATATGTTTTTGTTTCTATTACAGATGTGCAATTTTAGTGTTCTAATTTTTAATTGAACAATTCTAATTTTTAAAATATTATAATTATGTAATTTTAATTTTTTAAGTATTATAATTATACATTTTTTTACCTATTTAAATTACATACATTGTTATTTTAGTTATAATAAATATATATAATTTATTAATACATAAATAAAAATTATAATATATATAACTTAAAAAATTAAAAAATTATATAATTACAATACAATTAAAATTGTACTATTATAATATTTGATAAATTATAATTACTTAATTAAAATTTTAAAAAATAAAATTTGTACAATTACAATACTTGAAAGATTAAAATTTTCAATTAAAATCTTAGATATAAAAATTACACAATTGTAATATCATAAAGATAAAAATGAATGCAATTAAACCTTAAATTAATTGATGTTATGTATGCCAACCGAAAGAAGCAAGACCTAGAGGAGGGTGAATCGGTACGTTAAGCCATTATCTAACATACAATTCTGTCTCTCTTTTTCATTTAACAGATTACGTCTGTTTCCATTAGCTACATTATTTCTCTTTTGACATTTAACTGTCCTGTTTTCACCAACGGACGTCCTTCTCTTTTTTCTTTTCCAGTTACTCCATTTATATTTCTAAGATCTGTTCATCCAACACAACACTTCAAATTGGTTTAGTTAAATTGGCAGTCACCGTTATTTAGTAGTTTATATTCTTGTTCAGTAACAAAATGTAGAACACCTTAAATATACATAGGGTCTTGCTAACTAGTTTCTTAAGGAATCAATAGCATTTTCCATATGCATAATACCTTAAACTGATATCTAACACTATTCATGAATCGAATTTTTAAGATATGAAGAATTGAATTGAACCCATCCATTTTGTAAAAAGGATTGATGTTTTTTATAAAGTAAATTGATTAGACATTCTTAAAAAACGGATCAGATTTTGCTTAAATTGAATTGTTTGGTTCATATAATTATCTACTTGATGTTCATATATAAATCCATTTTCAAAAAATCAAATTGTCTTTACAAAAGTGGATCTATTAGAGTTTTTTTTTTTCTTTTTAAAACAAATCAAATTTTATAATATCAATTATTATGGATATTTTTCACATCTCATACTAACATCACTCTTAGTTCAGAATTCCATTTAGTACATTCACGGAAATAATGAATCCAGTCACAATTCTAGGATTCTATTTTCACACCATATATGTAATATGTGGAATTTCAAATCTAGAGGGTATATTTGTCAAAGGCACGTACTTGTTTAGTTTGGATGCTGAAGGCATTAAATTGTTGTCCTCGTTTGAGTTCTTTCTCAAAACCAAACTAAATCTAGAAAGCATACAATATAATATCTAAACAGTAAACAAGTAAATACCTTAAGTGGACATGTGTATCTCATAAGAGTTACTACTGTTCCAAGAAAACTCTTCAAAAGGACTACTATCGTAATTGTGAGTGGATTTGAGGACTCAAATTCACTTAATTTGGTTAATTGTTAACCCAACCTAGTGACCTACTTATTACTCTGTAAAAAAAAAAAAATCAATTTCCAATCAATGGTACCTTGACAGACAAAAGTTTAACAATATAGTAGAGTAACATTGAGCTTTGGTATGACATGCTATTAATTTGATTGTTGCTACATAATTACTTGTATTCTTCCTTTAGGTGAAATTAAATGTTGTTTGCACTTGACAGTTGTACACAGTGGCTGGACCTGATACATGTGATGAGATTCATTCTGCAGCTGCAATAACAAATTGGCTTTCTGAAGGACTCTGCAAGTTTCTTCCACCAAAAGTAAGACCAAATTTGAGCAAGTTGGCACTCGCTGGCCATAGTCGTGGAGGCAAAACAGCATTTGCTCTTGCTCTAAGAAAACTAAACATCACCACTAATCTCAAGTTTTCAGCCTTAATAGGAGTTGACCCTGTTGATGGAATGGACAAAGGAAAGCAAACCCCCCCACCGGTTCTCACATATGTTCCTCACTCATTTGATCTTGATATGGCAGTGATGGTCATAGGATCAGGTTTAGGTGAAGTGAAAAGGAACCCCTTGTTCCCCCCTTGTGCACCAAAGGGTGTCAACCATGAGGACTTCTTCGGTGAGTGTAGGAAACCTGCTTGGTGTTTTGTGGCCAAGGATTATGGCCACTTAGACATGCTAGATGATGATACCAAGGGAATTAGGGGGAAAGCTACCTATTGTCTATGCAAAAATGGAGAGTCAAGGAAAAACATGAGGAGCTTTGTTGGAGGAGTCATAGTTGCATTCTTGAAAGCTTACTTGCATGGTGATAATGGAGACTTGTTGGCCATAAGAGACAGGCATGTGAGTCTACCGGTGGAGGTCAAATTTGATTCTTTAGTGTGAAAATCAGAATTATTCATATATCTTAACTTGAAATAGCAACCATTTTTACTCTTTTTTAATGTTCTTATGTTCACTAGTGATAAGACCTTAATAGAATATATAAGTGAAGTGCAATCTTCAACTTAAAATATATATATATTTTTTTTTTGTTAATTTTACATTCAAAATGTTCAATTTATATATTGTATTATATGTTTTATAAATACTTCCACATCGGCAAACGTGTGATATATTAGAAAAAAAGTTATAAGTAAAGTGCATCATGTGCAAGATATTAATTGTTTTTTTTTTGTGCATTTAGTCAATTTTCTGGCTCAAAGAACTATTTTGGACAAATATTAAAACCATTAGAATGGTAAATTCAAGAAGTGACTATGGAGAAAAAAAATAAACACTAGAAGAAAAAAATATGTGTGCAAACGAAGTAAAGGAAAGAAAGAACACAGTTTTTATATTGGTTCATCTCAACCATTGAGACAAAGTCTAGTTCTTGATTCAACTAGATCAAATTTCACTATCTTATCCAAGATACAAGTATTATTTACTAAGCTACTCCTGACTCAACCCTAAGTATTCTTTGATTTATTTCTTCAAACAAATACTCGAGTATTCTTTATACACTAAGTCTCTCCAAGCTTAAACAAAGTATTTTTTTATAGACAAGTCCCTCCATGCTCAACCCTATAACACAAAGTTACAAAGGTTTACAAAGTTGTTTCATCTTCCTTTCACAACTTAATACAACAAATTAAGAACAAGATTTTTTACAAAGAGAAAGAAAATTTGTACAAGACGTTCTCTTCCATATCTCTATCTTTTCTTTTTGAACATCATGCTTATTTATAGAGTAGTGTTGATGAAGATGACCATTGCAAAACTCTTGGGTCTTTCTTTTAAGATTGCTTCGTCTGTCTTCACTTTGGGAACCTTGATGAGAGAAGTATTCGTTGATGCATTAAATGTATTTCACCAACTAGTCACTTCTTATCTGATTAAGGAGGCTAGTTATCATTTTTTGAGCACCAATTAGATAAAATCATGTGTGTGTCATCTTTTGTAGAGTTGAAACAACTTTCACAACAACTTTTCTGTACTTGTAGGGACTTATCTAACATTTTCTAACACAAAGCACATCTTTCTTCTCTTTTAGAGTGGAGTAAGTACCAAAGAAGCCTTTTAAAGTCCGATCTGTTAAGAAAACATTTAGAACGCAATTACTATCCTTTTAGAGATCAATAAATGATAAGAAATTAATGCATGTTTATATTTAATGATTCATCTAAAAGCATATCATCTTAGTGCGTCATTCGTCTTAACTAGAAGATCGTTTTACAAAGATTGCATCTTAATAAAATGTGTCTTAATGAATTTAAAAAACCTTTTCTAATAAAAACATCTTTGTTTATTAACAATAAAACTTTAAGACTATGGGAATCTGAAGATGTCTTTTGATCTAACATTCTCCCTCTTTTTAATCATGACAAACATATGTTTTTAGAAAACAAGGTTTTAATAAAAGAGCTTTTTTTGGACACAAAATATTTTAGTGATTAGACAAAATATTTTCTTTTCATAGAAGACTTAAGATTTCACGAGAAAAAGTTTGTTTTTATGAAGACAATTTTGAAGGTAACACGATAAAGCAAAGAAAAAAAAAATATGGGAAGTTCATAAAAAAAAAAACTTTTCTTTAGAGTTTATGGAGATATGACGAACTCATTCACACAACGAATATCAAAGCATATATCAATGCAAAAAAATTAATTTTTTAGCAGAGCAAGATTATCAGATCATAAGCATAGTCTAAGAATCAAAACACAAAATATTATCAGAGCATATATCAAAGTGAAGCATTTTGAGTAAACGATAATATTAGAGCAAAGATAAATAAATGAGATTTAAAAATGGATGCTCCCCTTCAACATATGCATGCACAAAAAAATGTTATCAAAGCAAGAAATTTGTTTGACAAATCAAATTGTATATATACGAACGATTAAGTTCAGAACCATGAAATGTGTAGAGTAAAAAAAAATCGGATACTACTTTAATAAAAACTTTTTCAATAACTATAAATATACTCCCTTTTTGACACTAGCAAAAGCCAGGTCAAATTATTCATCTTCGTCTAAGCTTATCTTCAAGTTGAGTCAGGTGAGTAGCTTTTGAAACTTGTGTTCCAAGAATGCTTCCCTTTAGAGTGAGCTGCAAAAAGCTCGAACTAGGGAGCCAATTGTGAGTTGTAGAGCATGGTCGTAATCAAGCTGTGAGGCTTCAGGAGCAGGAGTTGGTTTCAGTGCAGTAGGAAAAAGAAGGACAGATGTAGTTGTTGTGGGTGAGTAAACAAAAGTAGCATCTATAGGTAAAGAAATATGAAACCTAATATTAAAAGGAGAAGACTAGTGGAAGATGTGACATGGTAGAAAACATTCCTGACAAATGGAGTAGTGTGAGAGGGAGCTAGAGAGACTTGATAGCAGCAACCAACAAGGAACATGGGATAAACCTTGTCTGAGCTAGAAACATCAGACTGATGGCATCGAGCGAATCTCATGTACCTCACATCCTTATCATATTGAGACTTTTTCTCCTTCTCCTTGCATACAGAGTGTAAAGTAGCCTTGGGTCTTGAATCGACAATGGTGAAGGTGATCCAAGGATAAATCATGCATATCCTTTGTGGGCCTCTAATCAATAGAGGAAGTTGATGAGGGGTACCTTCAAAACTTAGCTCTACAGCTGCACGCAAATGAAATTCATCTTCAAGCTCGTGGCATAATTGATTGATGAGATGAAGGGTCTAAGCATCCAATAGTGGTGGAGCATAAATGTCCAATGGTCTTTTTTCTGTTTATAGGGTGGTCCAAATGGGTGGTGATAGTATGCTCGTCCCTATAACACATGTTCAAGTACTCATTTATGTTGAAGTAAGGGGATCTCCTAGTAAAATCATACATAGGGGCCTCTCAGTACTTTTTTTTGTGGAATGCTCCTCTAGTAATTGTTCAAGTTTCGTTGCTTCCTCTAAGTCAACACTCTCAAAATCAAACATAGTCACTTGGGGGCACAGTAGAAGCAAATGCTTCTGGTCCCCGAGGGCTTGGTTGCACCAAAGAGGTGTCCACACTCAATAGAATGACCTCAAATGCAAACACTTCAAGAGACAATTGTTCATCTTCAACAACCAAGTCTTTAGTCTTAGGGGCATACTAAAAGACTTCCTCAACAGAGGCAACTGGTTCAGCGTGTACTGCCTCTTGGACCGGTGGTGCAAGAACTGCTTCTTGGATTGTTGGGGTGGCTTCGTCTTCTGCCATCATCTAAATAATAGACGCATCAGTTTAGGTAGGATGAAGACCCTCATCCACGATAGACGATTCTAGCTTAGACGAAGACTAGAGTCTCTAACTAACCCAAATAGATGAATCACTTGTGCTGGTGAGACCTTTGATAGACAAGCGAAGTGTTTCCTCAAGCATTTTGGCCTCTTCAGTAGCTAATGCTTCATCTTTCTTCCTCTGTTCTTCTACCTCAAGCTTAGACAAAACCTTAGTGCACTTGAAAAGCCTTTGCTCTTCCTTTTGAGTTTAAGGTTCAACGAGACCTCAAATCAAGTGTCATTTTTTGGATTGTGGGGGTTGAAAGACTTCTGTTGTAGGTTATGATGGTGGTGGCGAAGACGTGGGTTTTGGGCGAGTGAGACAGAAAGAGAGTGGTTTTTCATTTGAGTCAGATGAAGACTCATGAACATGAATTTGGAAGGGTTTGGCTATAGAGGTTTTGATTTTGATTTTTGGTGATGGAGGAGGAGCTTATGTTTGGGTTGAAGAAAGGTTTGGTGGTTGGATAAGTGTTTGGGCTTGTTGATGGCTGCGAAGGGTGAGTTGGCTTGTGGTGGTTCTCTTCAATGCGGGCTCTTCCTCAAGCTCGATCTTCACTTCTATTATGTTCCTCTTGACTTGAGGAAACAAATGAGCAATTCCCATTTGCTTCAAAGTAGTTGCGTGACCCTTCTCAAGACCGTTGATGTCGATGTTGACCCTTTGGATAATCTTTGTGAAGAGCATCTCATAGAAAATATGGGTACCCTCTTGCTTCATTTTTGGTCTATGTGACTTAGACAGGACTTCTAGTGATTGTAAACTAGACTAGGTAAGTTGATCTACCCTCCCAAACAGAGATGGTAGAGACAAAACCTATCAAGATCAGAAATATTATCTCTAGAACTAGATTGAGGGATGAATGCGCTGAATAGGATATTTTGAAGAAGTTTGCATAGGGACTTCATGTTGGTTGTGCAGAGGTACTTCTTCAACTCCAACTTGTGAGGAAGTCGAAGAATGTGGAGCAACATAACATCCTCTGGGTTGGTATTGGAATCTATAGGTGTTCATTTTATTATGGATGATTTGGTGCGCTCGGAACAGTTTCATTTTTGAAGGTCAGGCTCTGGTTGCATGCAAAGATGATGAATGAAGCTCTTGTCTTACATGCAGAGGTGTTGGCTTTATTGCATGGATCTTCTTCATCATGATGTACCTGCCACTCATCTGTTTGCAAATCAGCTGAAGAAGATCACTCTTGCATGACTTGAGGGAAGCCAATATGTGTGCTGATAGTTTAACTAAGATGATGAAATTAAGGTTTTTACTTCAGCGTTGACCTTTCTAGCTTGAAGATAGCACTAGTTGGTCTTTAGTTTTGTCCTTTTCTCTTCATTTTTTTCTCTCCAATTATGTACCAAAAAAAGTATAAAACCAATTATCATACTATATGATTGACTTAGAAAATTGTACTGATATTAAATCATTTCCAATATCTTATACAAGTTGCTAATAATAAAAACCAAACCTATATTTAACATATTCGATGAAAATCTATACCGGTTGGTTTATGTATTTAATTAGTCTCTTTATTTTTATCTATAACCAATTTTAAATTATTTATTTTAAAATAAAAATACTCAGTCCTTCTAATTTTAAAATATGAATTTTTGGTTATTTTATCAAATTAACATATATTAATAATCAAGTTTTAATATTTTATTATATTTATGATAAAATATTAGTAACATAATATTTAGACAAAAAAAATTTAAAAATATATAAATAAAATCACTCATAAAAATAAAAATAAATAAAATATTTTCTATGTTATATTTTAATTCTTATTTATATATGTCACGTTATTAAATATTGTATCATTAAATAATGAATAATTATTAAATAATTTTAAAATTTAATAATTAATAAATATTAAATTAAAAATAAAATAAAAAGTTTTATATTTTAAAAATAGATATAAAATTTCTCTAAAATAAAAGATTGAAATTACAAATCAATCAAAATAGAATAACTAAAAATACAATTTAGTAAATCCAATATAATCTTAAGTATGCAAATATTCACAATAGTCTTAAATATATGTTTTTAATTTATATAATATACACGCATTTTTTTTTTGTTTTTTAAAATTGTCTATAAAATAGTTTCTATAGTATTTTTTTAACCTTCTTAACATGTCATTTTATAAAAAATTTGTTAGCCCTACATAATTAAATATATCTCATTTTTTTTTAGTCTTTCTATTTTCTAACATACTTTATTTCGGACTTTAACAATTTGTTTTTGGGTCTAAAATACGTGCCGAATAACTTAAAATAGAAAATGTTGTAATTTAACCATTATTTATTATTTAATAAATAAAAAAAAAAACGTTAGTATAGTAATCTTTTGTCTCTTTGTAATGAAAGCTGAGAATTCTGCATTGAAGAGTAGTTTCTGAGGGAAGCAAACCCAAAGTCATATTTCCAACAGTCAACACCCACCGCCACCAAACGCCACCGTTTCATTCACAACACAGCCACTCCATGGGTGCAGCGCCGTCCACACCGGACACGGCGGAGCATCTCGTCGGAACCTTCGTCGGCGACGACCCCGTCCCCCTCTCCTCTGACTTCTGGCAGAAGCTTCTCGAGCTTCCTTTCGACGCCGAATTGCCCTCTCAACGCCTTCACCAAGCTTGCCAGTTATTGGGTTTGCACTCTTCCTTTCTCTCATCATTCCTTTCTTTTGTTTAAGACAAAAAAGCTTCACCCGGGAACCATGCATTTCTTTATTTAGACCGTAGTTTTCTCTATAAATTGACTTATTAATGAATTTGTATGTGATTTTAGTCCCGCGCTTGTTCCCTTCAAGTAATTACTAATTACTCCCGCGTTTTAAGAGTTTAATTTCTATCCAATTCCTGTCGTTGTAAATGAATTCACAATGTCTACCAATCACTCATAAATGATCGTTTTGATACAGGGTAAAATACCTTTCCTGAAAGTACGAAAATTCTAAATTAGTCCTTGAAAAGTGCTTAGTTATTTTGTTTAACTTTCTAAACTCAACCACTTATTGTCATTCACTCATTTGAGTCACATGCTTATATGAGTTTGATCCTTGGCAGGAATAATTTTTAATCAGACTTTACTTATCTCTTGGTGGAGATAGATTAGTCTAAGGTAAAACCTTAAGATGCTGGTGCAAAATCAAAAATATAAATTTTCATGTTTGCAAGGACCAAAGTACCAAACTTACTGTATATAGGAGTTTATGATTGGATGAGAATGTAAAAATCTTTTATATTGTCTGTGCATACACAATTCCCTCTTTTTTTTGTAGTTTTTGGTATGTGTTTGTGTTGAAGATCCCATATTGGCTAGTGATATGACCAATACGGTGTATATAAGTAGAAAATAATTTTTACCTTACAAACCGATTTTGAAAGATTGAGTTAGATCCATAGTCTGCTTTCTTAAAATGGTATGAGAGTCTATATCCTAACAATTATAGGTCGCCCCATTATTAGGTCATTATTGGACCACTCATAGATATCTAGTCCTACAAACTTTACATTTGACATCAATAAATATTTTGTAAGCTAGTTATGATATTGAGGAGGTTAAACTTAAAGGTGGTTATCGTATTCAAAATCTTGCCATTTTAGCATACTTGTTTCTGAAGGTATGTTATTTTGCTTGCTAATGCTTGATTTTCATTTTGCAGTGAAAAACAACCGAAACACAAGGCATCTTGCCAAGATTTTGTTCCATCTAGCATGCTACTTGCAGGAGTCCATGTCCACGTCTGGTGGACCACCGTTGGTTTATGAAAAGGCTGTTAATGCGGTTTACATCACTTCAGTATTCCTAAAGCACTTGATTGAAAGTACCCAAGATGGTGATGTCAAGCTGTACCTTTCTCTCCATGATAGCGAATCAATACCAATAAATATTTTGGGAGGTATGTAGATTGAACTCATAAGAGTTTAGAATGAAACTCTCTCTTCTAGTTATCAAAATTTATGCAGTTGCTCTATTCTAATGCAGATCAGACCATTGAAAATCTTGTAATGCGGAATGTGCTTAAATTTATTGCGACTGTAGATGTGAGGTATACCATGAATCATGAATTGATAAATTGTCATCCAGTTATTGTGTGAAACTGCAAACCTTTTTTTCTCCCTGCCCCTGGTGATATATATATTGTTTTATTATAGTCCCGACACATATTTCCTACATCTGGAGCTGCTGAATTTTATGATTTTTGCAATGTCAACTCAGCTTCTTTGTGGGCCATCCCGTGGACTGAATGATGTGAACCCATTTCTTGATGCAGCAATGGCTCAGGTAAGCAGCTGAAACTTAAACATCAAAGTTTGGTGGTGATTTAATTGCTTTGTATCTTCGGCTAGAAAACTTCAAGTTAGTGCACTGTTTTCTTTCGCAGGATGGCCATCTGGTTAGTTCAGTTGTGTGCAAACTACTTTTAAATTACATTACCCGTCCTCGTGTTCCTTTTAATAGAGCATCTTATTCCATCTTTTATGATGGAAATCAGAATAGTGTGCTAAAGAGAGTTGGTTCTGCAGCTGGTATGGCGACTGAATATAATTTTTCTATTTATGTACTTCTGGGGTCGATCATACATTGTTATTTATAAAATATTGTAATAATTGTCTTATTGTTCAAAGTTGGAGACTTTCTGATGGTCACTTCTTTTGGTATTTCCTTTTCTCCATTCAGCAAATATTGTATTATTGCCATTCAGTTATCTGATCAGTTCAAGCAGTGATGCTTCAAGAAGTCCAATAGCAGATAGCAGTCTTCATGTGCTTCTTGTTCTCATTCATTATCATAAATGTCTTGTGAGTGAGGGCTACTCTGTCATGGAGAATCAAGTATCCACCACTTCAGATTCTTTACCCAAAGAGAACACATATTTTTCTGACAACCCTTATTGTAGGGCTTTAGAGCACGCAACTGATTGTGAGTGTAATATATTTTTTATATCTGTGTTCTTTTAGTTGATTGGAAAGGCCAACAATTTTTTATCAATGCTTTAAATTCAGTGGATTGTGCAGATATAGAGGGCAATGCACACAGTGACCAACATGTAAAGTTGCCTTTTGCACTGTTATTTGATACCCTTGGCATGTGAGTATCAGGCTACCTTGTGTGTGTTCATCAATTCACTTACTAGATCTGTAGCAAACGTACCTTTGGTTATAGTTGAGTTACACTATTCAAAATAGAATATACATGTTTTGCATGTTATCATGATAGGATGACAACTTACGTTTCTCAATAGTGAGATGACCAGAACATGTATCAGTAATCAGTTTTAGGTGAATCTTATGGTTACAGAGTATTTGTTTCTTATAATTCTCTATTCACCCACTTGATAAGTGTCATTCCTCTTTCTTTCTCTTCCGGTCGCTTGTAGATCAAGCAAGAATTCTTGGACTTCTTTTCATGTTGATGTTGGACTTTTATATACAAAGTTATGGGTATGCGTGTGGTATCCTAAGTTTAATTTTTTTTTTATATATTTTTTTTAAAAGCAAGTGTGTGTGTGTGTGTAGATATATATGTAAATGATTATATTGGTTTTATATAATAGCATTTTTAGAAGGTTCAACTTTTTCCCCTCTCCAGGTGCTTAGCTGATGAGACAGCTGTCCTACTTCTTTACTCATTGTTGCAAGGGAATTCCAACTTCTTGGAATATGTCTTGGTCCGAACTGATTTGGATACATTGGTATGAGGAAGTAAACTTATGTGGAAAAAGTGAATTGAATTAATTTATTATAAATATGATATAGAATTTAGGTGGGAGAGAGAAAGTAACAGCAAGAAAGAGGGGAATAACAGAACAAAGAGGATAGAAAAAGAGAAAAGAGTAACAAAGATCAAAGAAACTGTGCACTTACAGTCCTACATTATCATTTACTGTGCACTTACAGAGAAAAGAGACAATTGATTCTCATGTGGTCTGTAGTCCAAAATACAACAGCCCTACATCACTTACAGGCAGCTACCCAATAGCTATGAATTCTATCTAACAATAGCCAACTAACTAACATTCTTTTCTTATTTATACATATCGAAATGTATGTAGGTTGAAGTCATCCGAATGAAATTTCAGGGGAATTCCTTGACTATGATATGGTATATGGTTGATTAGAAAATCTCACTAGTCATTCTTATAACTTAATCATACAGGTCTTACTAGTGTGTATACAATGACTGAGGATTGGTTCATGTTCTGATCCTTGTTTATTTTGTGAAATTAACAGTTATTACCCATTCTAGAAGCACTATATGATGCTCGAAGGAGGACAGCTAATCAAATTTACATGTTGTTGATTATACTTCTCATACTTAGTCAAGATTCTTCTTTCAATGCTGGCATTCACAAGCTGGTAAGACTTGTATTTGAGCATTAGACAAAGTCTTATATTGTAATGATTGCGCTAAATGTTAATCTAGTATATTATGTATGAACAGAGTTTTCCAACTGTTCCATGGTACAAGGAACGTCTCCTCCTTCAATCTTCTCTTGGTTCCCTCATGATTATTATTCTTATCAGAACCATACAGTATAATTTGTCTAATCTCCGGGTATGAATCTTAATGCAAGTGAGACTATTAATTTAATTTCCTCATTTATTTAAGAAGTCATTTTCTGCTGACTGATTATTTAATAAAATGTTTCATGTCATTAGTACATTGGCTAATTAAGATGGCCATTATAAGAGATGTGTGACTGTTCTTATGAGTTTATTAATGGAACATATGATTGATGCTGTGGTTATGATTTTTTTAATGCAAAATATTTGTCTCATTCTTAATTTGAAGGTACTTCAACTAAAGATACTTAAACTTAGATTGGCTTCTGATCCTAAATTGCACATGACATGTTTTATTTGTCCATTCCCTGGTACTCTGAAAAAATGTTCTAGCCTTAAAACTTTAGTCCATATTTCAGAACGTTATGGATTGATATGTTCCCAAACAGCGATAAATTTTAAGCTTTGATTGTTGAGTTTGATAGCATAATTTCCTCTATTGTGTTTTTAAGTTATAAGTTTGCATTAATCTGCCTAACTATTACATTGATGTATTTAGATGGTGTGCTAAAATAGGATATTGTGTTGAATTGTGATAGGATGTATATCTTCATACAACATGTCTAGCAACATTGGCAAACATGGCACCACATGTCCACCATTTGAGTGCATATGCATCTCAGAGACTAGTCAGCCTCTTCCACATGCTCTCCCGGAAGTATGTTGCACTCTTTTTGGGCTTTCTTAGTAAACTATATCCATTTCATGTATAAATCTTGAATGACTGATTTCCTGTATAAAGGTTTGATTCTAATGAATATCATTAGGTATAAAAAATTAGCAGATCTCAGAGATAATAAGCTCAATATTGCAGAAACCAACTCAATTGAAAGAAGTAGCCTTGTAGAAGATATGGTATGTGAAATGGGTTATGTGCTTGTGTCATTCTATCGATTACAGATTTTTGACTATTCCTTTTGCTAAATGCATGTTCTTTTGCTACAGTCAGCAGAATTGCACATATATACCGACTTCTTGAGGCTTGTACTAGAAATTATAAATGCTATTCTGACTTATGCACTGCCTCGAAATCCTGAGGTACAATTTATGTTCCACTTGATTAATTGCAGATTAAACATACGCAAACCAATTTTTCTCTGGTTCCCAATAATCAAATAAAATTCCCATTGTGACCTTTTACATCAAATGTATTGCTTGTGACTGGGACAGGTGGTGTATGCAATAATGCACAAGCAGGAAGTTTTTCAGCCTTTCAAGAACCACCCCCAATTTAATGAGCATGTTGAAAACATCTATACTGTATGTTTCATGTATTCCATTTTAATCATGTTACAATACAGTATACACTACCCTGTTAAAATCTTGCTACTATAAAGGATCACAGTTCATGGTGTCTTATGTTACATATATGAACCTTGTCTTTGTAAAAACATCACATTTTGTTCAAGCAATGTGGTCTATTTAACATTTGCAGGTGTTAGATTTTTTTAACAGTCGCATGGATGCCCAAAGAATGGATGGTGATTGGTCAGTCAATGAAGTGTTCCAAGTGATAATTGTGAACTGTCGGTCTTGGCGTGTTGATGGGATGAAGGTAAAGTGAAAAAAACTGTGTAATTCTTGGTTTACACCCAATGTGTAATAACATTAGGAGGATTACTTGTTATGAGTATATCTTGTTTGGCAGATATTTACTCAACTGCACTTCACATATGAACAAGAGAGTCACCCGGAGGAGTTCTTTATCCCATATGTCTGGCAGCTAGTATTATCCAGATGGTACGGTTCCTGGAGATTCTTATCCACTTGCCACATGGTGATTTGTAAACTGTTCTGCTCTTATAGTTTGACCTTTGTTGGTCTTAATGCATGTGCTTTCCACTTCTAAACTGAATGGGATTGTTACCAAGGTCCAATCCTTGGAAAATCATTATTAGATGTTGAGATACCCTCACGGGGGTTTATTAATTTCATCATCTTTCTTTAGTGTAAGTTTTGATGATTCCCTTTCAATATGTTTTTCTCGTTCTGTGCATGTTACTGATTTGAAATATTCTGTCATCTTCAGTGGATTCAAATTCGACGCAGGAGCTATAAAATTGTTTCCAGCTTATCTACCTACCGAAGTATGTATATGAATCTCCATCATATATTTATATACCACATGCCCCTTGTAATCAAATAACTCATCTGCCTTTTTTCTTATTGTTTTGTCTTTCAATTCTTCCTTGTATGTAGACATGCTTCTGTTGCTGCTGCTTATATTACTGTTTCTATGATGGAATGACTTTTACATTAGGATTTCTTTTTTGTTTTTTGATAAAGGAATGAGCATTAAGATGTTAATTTTTTTTTTTGGTTTAAAAAGAAGTTATAACTCCTTCTCACCCAGTCAGTCTTTATAAGAGTAAAGTGACACCTCCGATTCTATTCCATGTTCAAGATGGAGATTGAACCCTGGTCTTTGCTCAAAGAACACAAGTGCTATTCTTGATTTAAGTTCAACTATTTATTAAGATGTTAATTTAGTTAAACTATTCTTGATTACTCATTTATTTTTCTTGTCAGTATTTTCAGAGGAAGTCTTTTTGCTGCATCAAGCAGTTATATCACAACTTGACCGTTCTACTTAAGGGGCTTTTAGATGTCTTGAGCAGCAACATCTCACTCTTCTCTTTTATAAAAAATAAGCTCCTTTTATAAGTTTTTGCTTAATCCAAATGTAGGACCCAGATTGTCCTTTTAAGGAGAAGAAAAACTAGAAAGCCAGGTCAAACACTACTCAGGGATTGTCTGCTCTATTGTTATTTCAAGTGATTCCATCTCTTGTGTAATGTATAATTATTAGTCACATTGATCTTTTAACTCATAAGCAACTTAATTCTTACTTGTCAGTTTAGCTAAATTGCACCAGCCATTCTCTGACTTATAAAGAAAACAAGTAATTAATGGAAGAATTTTTTGTGTTAATGGTATATATAGTGTGCTTTAGTCTCTTTTGCATTATGTTTGACATATTTGTACATTAACTTGGATCATTGACTTCAATGACAAAATTTACTGTGTTGCAGAAAATTGACAATGGGGTGGTGGGAAATACACTCCAAAATGCTGACTCGTTGTCGAGGTGAATACAGAACGTGGCCGTCACGTACTCCAATTATGTTGTTGAATATGTGTACAGATAAAATAGTTGCAAAAATGTAATGTTCTCATTCTTTTATGTTCATAAATTTTCGAGTGTAATGTTTCATTCCCGGAGATGAAAACTGAGTTGAGCTATCCATGGCATCAATAAAGATATTTGGCATATAAATTGCTAATACATGGAACAAAATGAGTAGACACAAATTTTTGTTGATACTAAAAAATTTAAAATCAAGTTTTTGTTGAGAAATGGGCAGAGAGAAAGATAAACGGGGTTAGTTTATTGCACAACTGAAGATTAAAATGCATATATTTTAACAGTTCTTTATCCACATTTGAAACGTTGTCAAAAAAGTAGTCTGCAGCAATTTTGGCAAGGAGATTTGTTGCAAGAATGCCAATAACAGTTGCAATGTGAAGCATTTTCTTTCTTAAATTTTAAAGAGTGTTTATTTTCTTTCAATTACACTTCAAATATTAGATGTTAGAGTTATGTTTTAAGTTGTTTTTATAGCTAATAATGAAAGGATGTAACTAATGAGTGATGTTCGCTGTATAGAGTTCTTTTCATATAAAATATTAGTGTCCTTGTATATTCATGTTTGTATATTTTTATAATTTTCTTCGTTCATAAAGCAGAAACAGTATTTTTTTATCAGTAAAAATAATTATATTAACGGCAATAAGATTTGAATTAGGATCTAGGTGTCTTAACTCTCATCCTAGAAGTTAACCTTTTTGGGGCACTTTATAATAATCTTCATGGCAAATCAAGTCTGTTTTATCGAAAATAACGGATATATATTTAGTTTTAGACAGCAGCTAGCGTACTCCAGTATATTAAGTGGTTTACCATAGTCAAATTTTTGTTTTTATTTTCGACCAGTAGATTACATGGGTGCATAAGATCTTATCATGCTTCTTCCGTATATTATCACCTCCCTAAAACATATCTTAAAGTTACATCTACAGTAACTCATTGTACCGTGCTCCTTCTTCCTCCCTCCATGGCTACATGTGTCTTTCACATTTCACTAAAGTTGAAGACTCTAAAATATCACTATTGTTTCTCTCTCTCTCTCTCTCAACGAAGTCATGAACCAGTTTAGCATCCATCTACCACCCACTTTCCTTTACAAAGTCACAGTACCAAGTCCCTTTGTCCCTAAGATCAAGAAGAACAATAATTGGTTTCTTGCCCCCCCCCCCCCCCCCAAAAAAAAAAAAAAGCATTTTGTAATACGTAAAGATGCTGCATGGGCAATTATGGAACCTAAATATAGTGAGGAGGCTCCAGTTAGTGGGTATGTATATGTGGCAAGAGATCAAATGATGCGGGAAGCAGGAAAAGCACGAGGGCGTGAATAACAAACTCACGTTTGAAGGAATTCGGAGTAGCAATTAAATATATAAACCAAGGACATGATGAAAAAAGGGAAGAATGATGTTACTTTTTCTCTCTATTTTGTTTTGTGAATTCTCTTAAGGAGGTGTATTGGTTTAGGATTTCATAGGATTTTAAAATATTTTTTTTGAGTAAAAAAATTTATTGGTATTCAATCAAGATTTTATGTCATTTAAAAATAATCCAGTGATATTTAATCTGGATTTTCAAGATTTTTTAAAGAGTCTATTAAAATTCATTGGTATTCATTTGAGATTTTTTACAACTTAAAAATAATCCGTCAGTATTCAAAAATATAAAGATTTTAAAGGATTGTTGTGTTAGAGGGATTTTGAAGGGTTTTTTAGTGTTATCTATAAATATCAAATTCACAAAACAATCTCATCCAAACCCATCAGATTTTGGAGGATTGTTTGAAGTGACTTTTCAAGTGCTTCAAGAATTTTCAAGTGAATTTTTCATTTTTTTTTCTATGCTCCTGTTTTCTCCATTTTTTCTCTGCGAATAATATTGCACTACTGTTCATTGCTCATATATAATATTGTAGTATTGTTTCAATTCCATTCCCCTATATATATATATATATAATATGAATTTGAGTTAAGGTTTCTGTTAGTAGAATGAGATGAAAATGGATCTTAGTTGGGGGAAGAACCCTCTCTGCATATAAAAACTACGAGTTCTCTCCTTCCCTTGAGTTAGTTACTCTTATCCTTCCTCCTTTTATGACTCAACAATTATTTTATTTTTTTTACTATGAATTTTTCTTTTAATTTTTATATTATGAAGTTAGGATTTTTTTATATTTAAAAAAAAATTAACATAAGACATTGTAGTAATATATATATATATATATATATATATATATATATATATTCTCTATATCTAAATATTTTCTCAGTATCGAATAACTGATTTTTTTAATATAAAAAATTATCTTATGTTTCTATATTTCCGTTTTTGCATGTTATTTTACAATGGGTGAGGTATTTGATCCATTTGGATAGCCAAGATATATTTGATCTTGTGTGATTGATGTGCTTCTAAAAATAATAATATAATTTTATTCATTTTGTCTCTTATCCATGATTATTTATATAACTAGCTTACAACATATATTATTTTAGTAATTCAAATGGAGAATGCGGGTGAATGTTATTTAAGAGGATAGGATATTATGGAGAATTATTATTATTATTATTATTATTATTATTATTATATTTATCTAGACATTGTTGTTTTTTTGTTATTTTTGTCTTTAACTCTTTAAATTTGAATGTATGAAAAAAAATTTGAAATCTTATCATATGTCAAAAGTCCACGAAAATTCTACAAAATCTCACAGAATCCATTAAAATCCTGATTTAAAAGTCTTGTAGAATCCATTAAAATCTTGATTTAAAGTCTTGTAGAATCCTACAAAGTCTTAAAAGTCATAAAAATCCTACAAAGTCTTTTAAAATCCGCAAGATTTTTTTAACTAAAAAAGTCCTTTAAAATTCTAATCCAATACACCCCCTTTATAGTTACCGTCGTGTATCGTCTTCCTTGTTTTTGGGTCACACATTATTGCTATCATAATACACACATAGGTCTTTTCATTCCATATATTGATTCTGTTACTCCTAGTAAATCCTAACTTCTTCAACTGTTACATATTTTCGTGCCACTCTACCAATTTGGAACTCTCTTTGTGCTTCTAAATCGATTTCGAACCCTAAAACCAGAAAGAGCAAAAATCGCACTCGCAATTCCCACCCTGTAAAGTCTCTACACTCACATATGAACCATGTTATGTGCAATATTTGGTCCAATAATGTCACCTTCTGTGTAAAAGTTGTTAAAATCACTAAAGTTCAACAATCATTATTGCTCACTAATCTTGGTGTCATTGGTTGATTAAGAGGTTAGTAGGTTATCAATTTTAAAGAATGAATACGTAACATGCATAACTCTGTCTTATTTATATTTACATTAAAAGGATTATATATATTATTTTCTACCTAAAGTTCTGAAACTAATTTTGTAATTAATATTCTAAATATTTACAAGAGATATTATAAGAGTTAAACATATTATTTCTAATTCCATGAAGATATGATTGGGATAAAGATGATATGTTACTAAAATACAATTATCAATTATCTCAATATTCTCCCACAAGTTAGAGCATGAAGATTCCAAATGTCCAACTTATGAAGAAGGAACTGAAATTATTGCTTCTCAAGAATCTTGGTAAAAGTATCTTCTAGTTGTAAGTTGGTACAAACATGAAAGGTAATAATATGATCTACTTGAATTTGATCTCGAACAAAATGACAATTAATCCTAATATGCTTTGTGTATTCATAAAATGTTAAATAATGGACTCCAAGAGACTTCTGTAAGAATTTAAGTCAAGTGAGCTCACAACTACCAATGACCAATGAACGATATTTAGTTTTAATAGGGGATCGAGAAACAATTGATTACTTTTTAGTCTTCAAGAAACAGGGCAAACACCCAATATAATAAAGTAGTTGTAAGAAAACGACGAGTTAAAGGACACGTGACCCAATCTAAATCACAATAAATAGTTACAAGTATAACATATAAGGAAAAGAAATAAGAATATAAGATAGACAGATAAGAAGGAAAGAGACATTTTGACAAACACATAGAGTGCAAAATGCATAGGTTGGGAAGTTAGGTCCAAACATGCATAGGCATATATAGATAGATTAAAGAGTGTTATTTTAATGAAGAGAGAGTTGTTTATTTATATACATGTGATGTAAAATGAGTGAAGAATTGAAGCAAGTTGAGGGAACATATAATATTTATAAGAATGAAGAGAGATTAAACCTGAGAGTGAGAGATAGACATAAAGTGAAGTGTGTGAGAATAAGCTGTTTGTGGGGTAATGGCATCAACATGAAACAACGCACCATGACTTCCCTTTTACGGTTAGTTATATTCAAAACTGTTACATACTTATTTATGAACCATTGTCACTTTTGAAATTGATTGATTAATCGCCCCCCCTATCTCTTATTAGATGTGTGTAGGGATGGATCTAAGTGTTTTCCACTAGGGGCCATGACCCCCTTGAATTTTTTTTTTTTTTTTTTAATTTCTAAAATTTTTAAGTTTATTTAAAATTTTTAAGAAGTAAAATATTACTTAATTTTCTTCCTTTCAAATTTATGTGTGTCACATATATTTTTTATTAGTTCAACTAATAAAAACTCTTAATAACTACAATTTTTTACCAAGATATTTAAGTACACCTAATGTCACGATATCTTGTGTATGTCAAGACTTTTAGAATTTACTTAATATTTTTTTAAAAATATTTATTATTTATCATAATAATAAACTTAGAATGAAATCAATAAATAATATTTATTATTGTTATTTCTTAATTGTTGCATTAAAAAAAATTAAGGTGTAAATGCCTGCATAATTCATAGTTTTTTTCTTCATATTTTCTCCTAATTATATACTAAAAAATAAATAACAAAAACTGAAAAAGCTAAAATTTAAATAAATTCCATTGTATTATTTTTCTACAGAAATTTTGCTATATTATTTAATCATGTTTATATATAATTTTTTTAAAAAAAATTGTTGACAAATATATTTTTATGTATCATTTTTAAAAGAAAAAATATTGAAAGTCAAATATCTAATAAGTTGTCAACTTTACTAGTTGAGAATGATGGGTAGAATTTTAAAGATCGTCCAAATGAAAATTCATTTTTATATATTGAAGTTTAAAATCAAAGTAAAACTTAATATAAATTTCTTAGAGCATGAT